CAAGTTTGGGGTTTTTTTGTTAGCAGAAAAGGGAAAATAGCATGACTAGTAAGGACACGGCTGCTCTGAAAAGAGCAAAGGCATGAGCAAAACCCATACAATTTCTCTTTAGACTTTTCTAGTTAAAATCCTCCTTAAAGACTTCTAACAACATTAAAGCTTGCTGCTTCTCCTGACAGTCCATAAACAAGAAAAAATTTGAATAAACACTTTATCTGGTCCAAAACTTAAGACATTATGCGGTTATCAGTAAATCACTAACAATAAAAAAATCTGGAGAAGCCTTGATGCTTTCTATAAGCATTTGCAGAGAATGTCAAAACTCATGATGAGCGGGGAAATTCAGTGAAGAGAATAAGAAGGAGCAGTGAGTCCTCTGGACGTTCTGGTCTGCTCAGTGTAATGAATCTTGTGTTCTTACATAATGCAGCCATACTATCACTATGTGCAGAACACCAGTGCAGCTGGGTGATAAGTATTTTAAACATGACAGCTGACAAAACTGCCTGTTTATTGATTTTAGCACATTTAACTTACATCCAGTTAAGTTGCCTCCCACCTCCTACACCAAAAAGAAACCAACCCCAAAACAAAGTATGCAGTGGGAATGCTGGGTACCAACTGTTTCATTCTAAGATGGGCTGCTATAGCAGCATCCTGCCTGCCCTGTTAATGCATTATCTTCAATGCCAAGAAGTGCTCAGTATTGAATACTCAAGACATTAATCACTTTTAGCTTTACCTAGTATGACAAACCATTATATTTGAGTTGTTGCAGTTCTCTCATTGTCCACATCAGTTATGCAGTTTTTAAGACCACTACGATCACAAAGCAAACCACTTCAAGCAGCTTAATGGAGACTGCAGTCAGGAGAAATCTGCCACCAGACTGTCACCTCAGTTAAACAGATCCTCATGAAACTCCAGAGATGAAAAAAGCTTGTCTGCCAATATCATGTTTTCAGTTTGCTAACGACACTTAATTTTCCCTCTCCTTTCAAGGAGAAAGGAGTCTCCATGGATGTTTTTTATTTATCTGAAAGGCTGAAATCAACAGCTCTGAAAAATATTCACTACTTAACGCTGACAGTTAATTATACCCAAAATCTCTCAATCAAAATGCCCAATAAATACACGCAAAATTCCCCAATCACTACCTTTGTCAGGGTGCAAATGGAGTATATATCAAAGCTAGTCTCCAAAGTTTGCAATGTGCCAAAAAAATTTAATCCCCCCCAAAAAAGTAATTCTATATATTTTCTGTCTGAATCCTGAGGCCAGAAATTACTTTTGCCTCTTTTGACCAAAGTTTACTGCATTGACAGCATTGCTTAATTGTGCAACCCAGCCTAGCAGCAATTTCTGAAATGGTGTTGAAATCTGGCAGAGTGGCCATGGCACTGCTTCAAACACATGTTCCTCTTTGGGCCACTTCCATTGTTTCCACTTCCATGTGCTATGTTCTGCAGAAATCACTTGTTTTCTTGTTAGGATCATCTGAGCATTAAGAAAAAATAAACAATCTTAATGTCTAAAAGGGAACTAGTTACCCTGAGTCAAGGTAAAACTGCAGAAAGCAGCTGCTTTACCTCACTGAAACCACAGGGCCACCAAGGGCTGCACTGAACTGAGCTGCTTGGGAAGTGCTGGTGAGGATTTTCCCTTTTCCTGTGAAGTTCTTCTGGGGTGAGTTACAATTCTCTTTACAGCCTCTGGATATGCCACTTCTCTAGAACTACACTGAGAAGGGGATGAAGGCAGAGTCAGAGAGAGAGAATAAATATATATGTAAGATGCAGCAAGATTGCAGAAATGGCCATAAATAAATGTAATGGGAAAACCTGGAAAAGATACCTGACCATCAGGCTTGAAGTGTGAGCAACCTATTTACAGGAATAGAAGGAAAATTGCCCTTCAGCTTAGGAAATGAGGCTGACACATTTAAGAGGGGAGGATTTGATGCAGTTGCTTGTGACACTGCTGTTGCTAGACTAGACATAAGTGAACCCACAAGGTCCATTTTTGCTCTAAATTATCATGTTCACTTATAAACCTACACAATTGTGTCTCAGAGATCAGCTTGTTAACTGAGAAGAGTGAGATGATTCCTGTCCTGGATACTTGCAAAGACTGATGGATTATTCTATTGGCAGTTATTTCTTCAAAATAGAGCTAAAAGCTGAATACACATTTGTTCTGTAACTAAATGTCACATTGAAACCAGTTTAGAAAGATCTCTTATTTCACATATTATGTGAAGCAGAACATTATTTGTATTACTTTTCAAAAGAGAAAAAATAACTTACATTAAAAAGACATTCACTTGTCTTTTTGTGTGAATGCTACAGTTTATGAATCCCTCTGATGGCCTTCTACATTCACACTATGATCTGGTATTCAAAACAAGACTATCTTGGTCCCTTTTCCCATTAGAAATAAACTCCTTAAATGGCTTCAGCCATATATGCATTCTTTTGGCAAGCAGAAGCAGTTTTTAAATATAGCCTGACATCTTAGTTATTGCTTTTAACTTAAGCCATTATATAATCTATAGGTGATACAAAAATTCTAATGGAAAGCAGTCCTTTTTTTAATATGATTTACAGAACAATGTGAAAAATAACCCCTAAGCTCTATCTAAAGAGATTTCAGCTTTTCACAGTGAACTATATAACTCACCATATATTTTCATTTGTGGTTTCTGGATAGCAGAAGATATTGAATTAGGCATCAAGCCTTCACATTAGTCTTTCAGAAGCTGGTGGGTATGTGCTGGACTGAATGGCCAGGAATAATCATGCTGTTCCCTTTGGCATAGTCTTAAAAAGATTCTGAGAGTGCTGGGGGAAATTTCTCTAAGAAAATACCAAGCAGCCTCAGAATGCCCAAACCCTGCAGCCTTTAGTTGTAAAGAAAGACTGCAGCTTGCACTGACACTTAAATCAGCTTTAATTTAGATAAGTAATGGTTCAATAGCAATGAAGTCAGTACCAGGATGGGTTTCAAATCAGGATAGCTATCCAATGAAGAACCTGGAATCTCAGTGGGGCCCAATCATCCTGCAGCTTCTGTGAGGCTGAAACTTTGCTGCTGCTTTCTGAACAAGCTACTTTACAACATCAAGCTGCATGTGCACTTCCAGCTCTGGTACAGATGTACCTCAGTACAGAAAACAGACAACAGGAATGCCATCGATCAGAAAATACTGGAAATAGCAACAGCCAGCAGCATAACGAAATCTGGTTTTAGTCAGATCCTCTCAAACACTAACATTCTGGTCAGATATGATGCTCAGACTGTTTCTGAGCTGGTACTACTAAAAATGTTAAGCAAATAGGTACTTTAAATACAGTCATATGCAACAGAGCTGAGACCCTGTCATTGATACTGTCACATTCAGTGATGCTGCTGAACAGGTGATTCTGCTCCTCCAGCTGAAATCCAAACAGGGAGAACTGGTCCTTTAATGTGGGGGCTGTCACCACTTCTGCTCCCTGCTGGGACCTCAATAAAAACCTGATGTTTTTAAACTAGCAGAAGTAGAAGGCTAGAAGCAGCTTTGAGGTGCTTCAAGATGTCTTCCACGTTAAGATGAATTGATAATTTCACACACTTTGTTCTCTCTGGCTGACAACCCAATGTCTGAGCTATTACAACAGCACTGTTCTTATGTTATAGCCTCAAATGCACTCAAACCTAATTTAAGATCCACCTTTTGCTCTGAAGTTGAAACCACGCTAGCAGCAAAGATGAGGCTGACTGCATCCAAATATGCACTTACAAAATTAAAGGCAAGATTTCCTTAGCAGAGGACACTTGGTTGTTAAATTTACAACCACCAGAGATCACACCCTCCCTCAGATCTTCACACTGACTTCCCTCTCTAATGGAAAAAAAGATGGTTGCAATAAGCAACCATGGTTGTGTTTTTTTTAATGCCACCACTTTTTGTGTATGGAAAGTAAGAGGAGACTTATGACCTCCCTAGGGACAGTGTGTTTCCAGATATATGAAAGAATAAGCAGATGCTACTTAGCATCTCAAAGCCTTGTCTATAGACGTACTCTAGATACACACAGTTAATAAGAGATAAAAGTCCTGGCCCTAGACAGCTTCCAGTCAAAACAGATGAAAGGGTAGGGAAAAAAGAAGTAATATTATCCTCTTTTTTAATATATATCTATATATATGAAAGCAAGGAACTGATAAAATAGGTCATTTGCCCAGGATTGGAAGGAAAGCCTGTAAATATGCATTTAAACTGAATACTTCCCAAGTCTCAATCTGGTGTCACAAACCCATTATTTCTCCCCAAAACAGCATATTCAGGATATAACATAAATAACAAAGCAGAGTGCAGACCAGCAGGATCATAAATACATATAGAAATGTAAGTATGAACAGTTCTGATTTTATAAAACTTTCTCTTGTGTCCAATTGGGCAGTTTTGCAGAAGCTGACAAGTATATGCTACTGTACCAAAAAGCTAGTGAAATGACACCCCAATTTTAATTTCTAATTTTCCACCATAACACATTGATCCATGTGTGAACCACAGTCAAAACACTTTTTATGGCTGAAACACATGAGAGAATTGAACACAAGGGAGGAACTCCTTCCCGCATATAAAGGAAAAGGAGAAGACTAATATATATCTAGAGAAAACTCAGGAAAAACAGTTGAATGTCTGTCTGAGAGCTACTTGTAGATATATTTTTTGTTGCTTATTTTATACTTCTCTCCTCCAGAGACAATTGACTATATTGCAGTAAAAGGAGAAAAATAGTTATGCTTCAAAAATTCTCCCCTTTCCCACAGTATCGGTATTCCTCTAGCACTTCTATTTGAAGAAGTCTTTTTTAGAACAGAAACTAATTCTTTGAAAAAATACCCTGTGGTAGCAAATACATAAATCTCTCATATTGTCCTCACAGCCTGTCTCTTTAGGATTATTATAGATTAGATTATTATGGAAAGGAAGATTTAAATGTCTTATTTACCTGAACAGCATCATAATACATTTTCTTGCCGTCTTCATCTGTCTTGTCTGACATCAGCCATGCCTTGAGCAGATATTCATAAAAGCTATCCCCAAGCCCTCCAATGGAGACATGATCTTAATAAGGAAGAAAGAGATTGAACACAATTTCATCTTCAGCCAGGACAATAAAATACAATTTCAGTTGAAAACAGTGTATTTAATGCTCTATTTCTACAACATCTCTAATAAACATAAGCCTGGAACCTCAGGAAAAACTTTACTGGTATATACAGAGAATTATTTCTTTTATTGCTATATTTTTAATCTAGCTAAAATGCCACAGTTGTTTAATATCCACAATGTGCCGCAGGAGGTTATGACAAAGAGAAAATAATTTATATGTGTCCATTCTAATTCATGTAGTCTATTCCATACAAGACCATGTCAAACTAAGTTTTTTCTTTTTTCATTCTAAAAAAGGTAAAGAAGTAGAATGTGTTCTCTGATTTGATAAAGGATTTCCCTTAATGTGCAGGCATTGCTCTTTTAGTCACTAACATCCCATTTAAGTCACTTCATAAAAAAGGCTTTTAGCTCCTTACTGCAGAGTTGAATTTCAGGTTATTTAGTGGTATTTCAAAATGCTGAGCCAGATGTTTAAAAATAATACATTTTAAAACTTCTGACTGCTCTCAGAACTCAGCAGTGGTTTAGCAGGAAAAAAAGGACTTCACCTCATCTACAGAGGATTGTTGCTGTGACACTGCTTTATTCTGCCCTATGCTTACTATGTGAAGCAACCTGGTACTACAGCTGTGATTATTCAATTGCACCATTTAGTGACTCTGGAAAAACTAGCATCACACAAGCCAGACATTCAACATCAGTTGCACCAGTGATGGGAAATTTAGTGATGTTGTCAGCAGCTTGTACAAGATTGCACTGCCTTGCTGTCCAGGAACCTGAAAGATTCTTGGCAAAATACTGATGGGTTATCATGATTTCAGCATAGATTCCCTAAATACATCAAATACTACAACTATATATACATGTAAAGAGTTCTTCTAAGCTCCATTAAGTGAAGAAGAGTAGCTAGAGGTTAGCTTTTGAAACTTGTTGCTGCCTGGCAAAATTAAGTGATTTGGCATCGAGTCTTCAGTGAAAAAGTTTGAAGTGCTTTACCAGGACTTCTCATCTATAACTGTCAATTTTACAGCAAAGGAGGGTTCTGCTAATTCCACTCAAGAAATCCAGGATGGAGATGTCATTACACAGATCACAGAGCAACTTCCTGAGTCATACCACAAAATTCTGGCCATGAGAAAACAAAAAAAAACCTGCATGGGATGATCCAGACTCATAAAGCGAGATGCAGAAGGGTTAGTGATCCTGAGCTCACACTTCCTGACACCTAACTCTGATCTTAGCTTCAAAGTTATGCCCACGTAGGTAGAATTCAAAGGAACACAGAGAATTTATTTTTATACCCCTTTGTATCTTTTCTCCATGGAAAGCCTCCCTTCACCTTCCAGACAGTTTGCAAAGACATGCAAATCTTAGAAGATAGATATTTGTCTATTCCAACTACATCAACAGCATCCTTTTCCTCCACTAGCCTGTGACATGCAAAAAAAAAAAATTTAGTGTTCTGAATGCATCCTGTCCCTTTGCCTACCAAGTATATTGTACCATAGAAGCTGGGTTTGAAAAGGCTTTTTTTTCCCTCTCCAACCTCTTTTGAATGAGATATATTGAAATTCTGGGAAGACTAGACCATTTTTAAAATTAAATGTTCATGATCCAAAAGGAGAAGAGATTTCTTAAAACAATGGGAACATTTCCTGTGATCAAAGGCTGATCTTTGAACAGCAGCATTTAAATGACCTTTACAGTTTCCTAAATAAATTACCATAGAAACCTCTGACATTTGCAAACTAAATAGCACAAGCAGAGTTTCATCAATAATAAGCCCTGTTATTATATACATTATTGCAGTAGACAAATCCAATTGACGCATGCTGCAGCAAATCACTGTCAGTTTACTGTCAAAATAACAAGGGCTAAATGAATTTACAGGAACAATAGCAGAGATCCATCAGTGGCCTTCACAGCTACAGCACTGCTGGAGAAGAAACATTCAGAAACCATTCCTCCCTCTCCACTTTAAGAGAAAATATTTCTGTCTTGTGCCAATTAAAGGTCTTGATTGTTTGGTTTTCCCCTTCTGTTGTAATCAGCTGAAAACAGCCTAGAAAAGCAATCACAAATAATATATTTTTCAAGTCTCATGTTCTGATCTTCTCAGTGGGCAAAAAATTATTTAATCAGTGTTCGTGAATGGAGGCGACCGATATGAAAGCGATGTAACAAGATGGAACTTGTCTCTGCTGCTTCAGCATGTCAGGGATAGACCTGCATCAACATCTGCATCCATCATTCACAGGCATGGGAAGCTATTTATTCATCAACACTGCATGCTATTGGAAAACAAAGCTCTTGCACACTATGAATTTTTCTGTGCACACCAACAAAAACTGGCATTTTGTGTGAATGAGGAGTGCTTAAGATGCAATTATATCAAAAATATAGAAATAATAAAGGCCAAAAGGCAGAATAAATGTTTTGACAGCTTTAAAATATGTAAGGCAGAGCTACTAACTGCCTCAGCCACTAGAAAGATCTGCTCTCATGAAGCATCAAAAAGCTGCTTCTGTGGCTAACAGAAGCCAAGAAAGGAGTTAACTGGATCTGTCTCATAGGCACTGAGGTTGTCTCTAATTAAATCCAGTACCTACTGCTGTAGGATTAACACTTCCAGGGGAGGTTTTTATGTCTTGCAAAGCTGTGGTGAACCGACACGTGTTACAATTGCGCACACGTCTCAGATCTGTGAAGGGATGTCAGGGTTTATACCAACATGGAACCACAGTTGATGGTCATGCATGCTGAGCTGCCACAGGCCTTGTGGCACAGTGACCTGCAGGAAGCCTCACAGCATAGCAGACTGAGAAATGACAGGTGTACTTCTAATTCATAAAGGGAAATGGCATTTGCCTAGATGGGAAAATACAACTGAGCAGCACTACCTTTTTGAACACCATTTTAACTCAGAGTGACACAGAACTTTAAAAAATAGATTTTAATCAATAAAATCACAGAAATCACAGAATGGATCAGATTGGAAGTAACCACAATGGATCATCTGGTGCAACCTCCCTGCACCAGCAGGGTTATATCCTAGAGCACATGACACAGGACCGTGTCCAGATAGTTCTTGAGTATCTCCAGTGAGGGACACTCCACAACCTCTCCCAGACAAAGGAAATTTGTTCCAGTGCTCTGTCACCAGCACAGAAAAGTTCTTCCTCATATTCAGGCAGAATTTTCTGTGCATCAGTTTCTTCCTGTTGCCTCTTGTCCTACTGCTTGGCAACCTGGAGAAGAGCCTGAAGGTCCTCTCACATCATCTCTTCAGATACTTAAGAGACATTGATAAAGTTCCCTCTCAGTTGTCTCTTCTCAATGCTGAACCAGCCCAGCTCTCTCAGCCTTTCCTCAAAGGAAGGATGCTCCAGTCCCCAGTCATGTTTGTCACCCTGTGATAGACCTGCTCCATCTGATAGACCTGTTTCTGGTACTGAGGAGTCCAGAACCCCAGAACTGGACACACCACCTCAGTTGTGGCCTCAAAAGGACTTAGTAAAGAGGCAGAATCACCTCACTTGACCGGCTGGGAATGCTCTTCCTAACATATCCCATGATGCCATTGGCCTTCTTGGCCAAAAGGGTGCTGCTGGTTCATGGCTACCTTGTTGTCCACTGGGATCGCCAGGTCCTTCTCCTCAGAGCTGCTTTCAGCAGGCTGGCCTCCTGCACGTACAGATGCCTGAGGTTATTATTCCTCAGGTACAGGACCCTGCATTTATCTTTGTTGAGTTCCAGACAGTTTCTCTCTGCCCATCTCCTCAAACTGTTGAGGTCCTGCTGGAGGGCTGCCCAGCACCCTGGAATATTGGCCATTCCAGGTTTGTGTCTTCAGAGAACTTGCTGAGGAGGCATCTCCCCTTCATCCAAGCAATGGATGGATAAGTTAAGCAATAGTGGGCCCAGTATTGACCCATGGGGGCACCACCACAGGCTTCCAACCAGACCCTGTGCCACTGATCACGACCCTCTGGGATCTGCTGTTCAGCCAGTTCTCAATCCACCTCACTGTCCACTCATCCAGGCCACACTTCTTGAGTTTGCCTAGGAGAATGTTGTGACAGTGTCAAAAGCCTTTCTAAACTCAAGGTACACAGTATCCACTGCTCTCCCCTCATCCATCCAGGTAGCTGCCACATCCCAGAAGGCAACTGGGCTGGTCAAGAGGTATTACCTTTAGTGAACCAATGCTGACTACTCTTGATCAACTTCTTGTCATCCATATGGATAGCGATAGCCTCTAATGAGGTTCTCAATCACCTTTCCAGGGTTTGAGGTGAGGCTGAGGGGTCAGTAGTTCGCTGGGTCATCCTCCTTGCCCTGTCTGAAGGCTGGGATTACATTTTCTTCCTTCCAGTCCTCAGGCATCTCTCCTGAACTCTCTGAGTCTTCAAAGACGATTGTGAATGGCCTGGCTATAGTCTGTCAGCTCTCTCAGCACTCATGGATGCATCCCATCAGGTCCCATGGACTTGTGGATATAAAGTTTGCCTAGATGTTCTCTAACTCAATCCTTTTTAACCAAGGGAAAATCTTCCTTCCAACATTCCCCTACCCTGGGTGGTGCCTCCAACCAGATCGGCCTTTGTGCACATTCTCATTTCCCTGGTCCTCAGATTCCAGGGCCTCATAACTATTGTATGAGGACACCTGAGGTGTATTGGGAGGGAATTCTCCTGCCAGTCTGAGAAGAAACCTGTTTCTGCTCCTCTCTGTCTTTAAGGTCCCCTACTTCTGCCTGGTTGAGAGTGGGTAGGGGATCCATCGCTTCTCGTGATGTGGATGGTGGGTGCATTTGTTTGAGGCACAGTAGGGAACAAACACTTGTCTTTGCCTTTGTGAAAATTATCTATTCAGACTGGTCAGTCCCATAAGGAGTGCAGCACCTCATTTCTCCCTTAGCTACATCCTAAACAATATTAACAAACTTCTCCAGTCTTTTCGCTCTGTTCCATTGCCCTACCAGCTGACACTCTGATAGTGTAGGAGCCCAGCTAATCTGCCTCTATCTTTTCAGACCATGACAGCATATCTTTTATTCAGCTTGTTTTTATTCAATAATGTAAGGAAGAAAAAATAGAAAGACAGTATGTAAGGAAGAAAAAATAGAAAGACTGAACCTAAGCAGGAAAAGTGGAAAAAGCAGTAAGTTCTCTAGCATCATGATCCTGCACACTGTACAGACTTTTGACATGTTGTGGGGATCAGAGAAAACAATGAACAACAAGAAAAGGCTCAGTCATCATGAAGGGGCTAAGAAATTCAAGTAATTCAAGTATTTTATCATCTTTTTCTTCTAATTTTGGTATCTTCAGTAATGGTTCCAAGGGGATTAATGCCATGACACATTTCTGTTTAGTTTGCTTCCTCAGTTGGTGGCATTAAGTTTCAACAGAAATCACAGCTGGGATTAACTGGAAAGACTTGTCTTATTACTTTTTCTTCCTTCACTGGAGCCACACAGCTCTGAAAATGTGGAATTTGATTCAGACAAGCTGATAATGTTTCCTTATACAGCTACTTCAGAGAGCACTTTAGATTTTTGAATAAGAGACTTCTGTAGTCCACAAATTCCTTTCCAAAGTCATACATATTCATACATTTCCCTGCTTCCACTGAAAGCTCAGAAAAAGTATATTGAAATATAGCAAGTAAGATTATTATTTTTATATTTGTAGTATTTTTTACGTTTCATAGAACATCAGATATAAAGTGAGTTTCTATATATTATAAAAGTTCTTTTTATATAAAAACCACATAACAGTGACTGAAAGAAGTTAATGACTGCAAAGAGAACATTGATAGACAGGTCACAGTAACAAAGACTTCAGCTACTTACGCTGGCCCCACTGGCCACTGCTGGGATTCAGGTAGTTGGGGTAAAGGCCCTCTGGTTTATCCAGGCGATTTAGAACTTTTCGGATATTCATTACCTAGTGGAAGGTACAAAACACTGAGCACTTATCCATTTCCCCCACAATATAAAGGAGTGTAAATATGCCTAAAAATAACCCCCCTGATCTTATTCAACACACACCTCCAAACACCTCTGTACAATCATATCACTACTGAAACACTGATATCATCATGCAAACAAGTTCCTGAAAACCTCTGGAGTTTCTGTGTCCATTGTCAGCCTTGAAACAACACAACAGGAGCAAGCTCCAAAGTTCAGGACTTGCCATGCAGAGTGTATCCCCCTTCTCCACAGGACACTGAAATTCACTGAGGCTATTTGCCTTAAATAAGCTCAGCTACATCAGCATTTATATTCCTCGTATACCAAATGAGAAATGCTATTAAATATTAAGCTTATCACCTAGTTCAGATGTGGAAGTGCACTGTAAAGGAGTTTTGCCTGCAAAGGCGAGCACGGCTGGAACTGACTGAGCTTTACACAACCAGCTTGCCCAGCAGCAGGAGCCCAGGCAGCCCCGAGTGCTCCACCAGCACTGCTAAGGAGCTCACTACAAATGAGATGCCTGGGGAAACAATTACAGTCCAGATGTTCAGCAGCTGGAGCCATCCAGCAGCACAATCCACTGCAGAGTGCATGAAATGAGTTATACTGCATTTTAGGATTCACAGAAAAACAAATGTAGCAGCTTGGAAGAACGTGGACCCTGAGCACTGCAGGCCAGAAATTGTAACAAAAAGGTACTGACAGCTTCATTATAAACCTCTGAGTGCCTGGAGACCCAGTGAAGTAGCTACTGAAAAAGAAGATAAATTAACTTATACCAAGCTGCAGAAGGATTTCTGTTGTGGTACACAAACTGCCTCCTGCATCTCAACACTACTCACTGCCCAAATGCAGGCTGCAATGAGTCCAAGACCTCAATTAATGAGTTTGTCTATGAATACATCCATGCAAAGCTGTTTCTTCTTCTTTATCAAATGTACCAGCCCCGGAATGGTTTGTCTCTGAGGGCTTTGGAATTGCAGTCTCTAAAGGGTTTTAAGAATAGCTTACATAAACAGATTTCCAGCATCTTGCAGCTAGAGCATGATGCCATTGTGTAGAAGAACCATGAGCTAGGATTTTTAAGATACACATTTTCATTGTCTCTTAGTAGAACAGATGCTATGCATTAAATTATCATAACTGTCACAAGATAATTAACTTATGTTGTCAACTTGTTTCTGGCTATTCCTCAGTGCTGCCATCCCCTACCCATCCACTCCTCCTCCCCAGTTCAAATTTAAGAGAAACTGTCCTTAAACTTAGCCCTAAATACCTGAAAATTGCTAGGAGTTCGCTTCACAAAATGTATTCCAATGCTGACAATGGTCCTGCAGCAAAGACACTCAGTCCTTACCCAATAATAATTTTACATTTGACTATTGCTTTTAGACCTACTGCTAAACATTTGGAGTCTCATCAATAATTAGATTATTAAGTTGATAATACCAGCTTTAGATAACATGGAGCAGTTGCAGGAAGCATACAAAATCAAACCAAGTGTATGTTTTAATTAGGAAATAAAAGATAAATGATAAAGTGTATTATAAAGAACAGGACTTGCTGGCTATTAGTATATCAAAAAGCAAAGCAAAATTGTTCAGGTGGGAGTTGAGGGAAGAAGGAGTTATTTCCATGGCTCATATATATAAAAAGTATCCAGAAGACAATGTTATCAAATTTTGGAAGAATTAGTATGCAAAACAACTGTTTAGTCTAGGATGCGATTTCTTTTTTCCTTCCCCAAAGAGAGTTCAAAGTATATTTCTTATAGGTCAGTGCAATGGAAGGGTTTTCTGACTTCGCTGACAGCAGTCATATTATACAGCATTTTGAAGAGCAAACTTGTTGAATCACCATGGTGCTTTGCTTTCTCTAGGCATCAGTTATTATCCCGAATATAATGTCAGGTTTAGTTTACACCCCATTAAGTAAAGAACTGAAGAAAGCTGTGCAGTCTGATTGCTTAATGTGATACTAATGTAAAAGATAAACAGAAATTAAATGTTTTATGGGGCCATATACAAGAATATACATCAGAATAATTTTGGAAGAGACTTTTGACTTTTTAATATAAAAACATGCCAAGGTAATTAGGGAAAATATGACAAATGCTTACAACTGAGGAAAATCCAAATCTCTCCCCACTGATATTAGTCACTGAATACATGCTTTATCTTTTACAACATGATTTTGATGGAGCAGTCTAACCTTTTCAGCAAAGACAGGGTTTCCAGACAGGTGGCTCAAATGTACAAACTCCAGGTGCAAAGTCCCAAATTCTGCCAAAATGCTGCTTCCACCAGAGGCCCATGGCCAATTTCGACCGATTCCACTAAGATGGGGGGAAAGAGAAAGACAGAAAATAATCATGAGCAACTATAATGCAATGCTAATAAAACATATAGGCAGTAGCTATACTGTTATCATGAGAAGATAATTAATCTAAATGTACTTAATATGTATGTAAGGAGCCATGCCTCAGGAGCCTTCCATGACTCCCCCACAGAACCTTGAATTACTTTGGTCCAGCTCTGCTTAGGCTGTACAGTTGCTTCTTGCAACAACCCAATCTTTTAGCTCACAAATGGCTCCATCACCCTTATCACTGTAACAGTGTTTCACTGCAGGATATCATGTTTAAAGACAGGACAAAAACTCACTGACTATAAAAAAGCATTCTCATACTTCACCTGCTCTCCTCTGTACTTAAGACAACACTCTCCAATTCTAACTCTAATGCAATTGTTTATTAACTTAAATTAATGCATATATACAGAATAGGCTTCAAGTTAGAAGTATTGGATGCAGCATATACTCGCATGAGACTTTGATAGGGTAGGATAAGTATGTATTTTCTGTCTGGGCACTTGTACCAGGATGAGTAACTTCAGTTTTAATTATGACCTAAAGATACTTCACAGCAAAATTAATCTTAGGATTTGTATTGAGAATTTGTATTGAGAGAAAAGCACATTTATTGCTAAATCCCCACTAGAAACTAATGCTGCTTGAGACTCAGGATGGCAAGTCTACTAAAGTTTCATTACAAAAAAGTGGGTTTTTGCCCCCCTTGAAATTTCCAGCAGCAATATTCAGAAGAAAACCCCCTGAAATTAGAGAAAAGCTAGACAATGTTCCAGAGCACCTAGGTGAATAATGAAATATTAGATTGGCTTATTATTAGGATGAATGTTACATGTAAATACACTTATTAGGTACTGGAATGTCTTCCACATTTCTAAGTTATGAAGAGCATTAAACACAAACACATTGGTATATAAATAAAATTTAAATTTTACTTTTACACATAAGCAGCCACTACAGTCATCAACACAAGCAGTTGCACAACCATGAAAATATGGTATTCTTCCTGAGTTAAAATATAACTCAAAAAACCCAAAACCAGCAAAACCCCCAATAAATCAGGATGGAAGTTCTCAGATACATTAAAATCTCTTCTTCAAAAGATCATCTATAACTGAAGTTTAACCAGTGCATGGAAATTAAGACTCCATTAGGTCAATCTCCCTGCTAGCTATATTAAATGGTATTTTGAGACTTCTGCCACACACACAAAACAAAACCAAGTCATTAAACTTCAAAAGCAGAGAAAAGGCAGAGAGAGCACAAAGGAAAGCCTTCTGATGGGGCTCTGCTGGTTGACCATAAAGGTGCAAGAGGCGGGGATACATGTAAGTCCTCTGATGTAAATAATTGCCCAAAAAGTGTTTCTAATCTTCATAGCTGCAGACCAAAATCAATGACACAATGAAATCAGGGTACTGCCAAGATGCACACAATCCCAATTTGGTAAGGTATTTGAGTGGCTGAAACAGAACACAAGTTTTATGGTATCTTAATATCTCATTTTAAGATCACTCTTACAATGATTAGAGTACTTTTTACAGAGTGAAAAGAAATCCACACCTGATTTACAAGCTGTCTGCACTTCAATCTACTGTGGCTTGGAATTTTTTGGATGGTAATGTAAAAGCATCAGATATTACAGAAAATAGGATCAAGGTGAGTACAAGCAGACAACATGTCTGGAAACCTCCTCTCTACAGTCTGAAGAACTTACAGATTGATTATTCACCCAAGAGCAGACCCCGCCTCTGGTGCAAGCTATCTCAAGTTCTAACTGCTGACTTCTAGATTAAGATATTTTATCCTGTTTCCAAATCACCCAGATGAAAGGAGCTGACATAAAGTTCACAAGAAGAAAAAAAATGAAAAGGCCCCTCAGAATTTCAAAAAGCTACCATGTTGTGGTACAAATGGAAAAAGCACATGTGCTTTTTTCTATGAAGTTTCTCAATCAATCTCAAAGTGAAAACATGGAGCTGTTCCTGCAGCAAGGCATCAACCAAAATTGACAGAAAACGTAATAGAGTTCCTACTTGCACTCTACCCCAGTGTCTGCTGATACCAATACAACCTGCCAGAACACTTTGATGTAGTGTGTTCTGTTAACAAGGAAAATTTCCAAACACAGCGGTCAAAAGGTTTTCTGCATGCAGCAATGTGTTTTGCCATGAGTGGAAGATTCTTCTTGTTTAAGATGGTTTGAAAATTACGAACTTGCATTCTTTGATCTTAATGCAAAAAATAAGTAGAAATAAACATAAATGATACATCTTATGTCCTACTAAATGGAGCTTTCATTTTTTTCATTTGGGTCAGGTGGTCAGGAAAAAAAGGCATCAACTTATTTCTGGTGAATCTGCAAAATAACAAGGCTTTGTGTTGGTTTAGCCTCAGATGCAAGCTCTGTCACTGAAAAGCTCATGTCAATAAGTGGTAGAACCCAAGATTTGCACTTCAGTCCCTCCAATATTTTTCATGCAACCTTCAACTATGGATGTCTGGTATTTTCTCATACCATAGAATGGCCTGGGTTGAAAGGGACAGTAAAAATAATCTGGTTCCAACCCCTCCGCCATGGGCAGGGGCACCTTTCACAGGATGCTCAAAGCCCTGTCCCACCTGGCCTTGAACACTTCATGCCACAGCTTCACTGGGCAGCTGATTCCAGCGTCTCCCCACCCTCACGTAAAAAAATTTCTTCCTGGTATCGAATCTAAACCTGATCTCTTTTAGTTTAAAGCCCCTTGTCCTATCACTACCTGCCCTTGTCAAAAGTCCCTCAGCTCTCTTGCAGACCCCTTTAGGTACTGAAAGGCTGCTGTGAGGTCTCTCCAAACACTTCTGCAGGTTGAACAGCTCAATTCTCTCAGCATGTCTTCATAGGAGGGGTGCTCCAGTCAACTGATCATCTTCACAGAATATATTTCATCTTTGGGAGCAATGGAACAGGTAAGTTTTCTATATTCCCTCACACTAACTGGAACAGCCACAGTACTGCTTCTGATTCCATTTAACTCCATCCTTATTTTAAGAAGACACTCCAGTGTGCATTATGCAGACAGTCAGCTCCTGAAGAGAGAGACCAGGAGATACTCAACAAAGCTTTCAGCATGCAGAATGCCAGAGATTTCACACTAATAATTTTTGATTGGGAAAATAGACTTTGACTTTTGTTTAACAATATTTAGGCTTATTTAAAAAAAAAGGAAATGAAGAAGGTGCTCCTTTTTCAGCCCTGCCCTCCTCACCCTCCAAGTCATAAATATTGTATACTTTTAAACAAAACACAGAACTTTAAAAAAGAGAGAAACTAAACAGAACAAAATAAATGGAAAAAGACATCTGTGTCAGGGATTATAAACAATGAGTACATTTATAAATTACTTGAGGTGACCTAGAAAATAACATGCAATAAATAAATCTAACAGCTCAGTAAATCTTAATAACTAGGCATAGTAAAATACTGATTTCTGCCCATGCATGAGATAACATAACCAGTGCTCCGAACTCAGACATTTTTCAAGCTCTTCACCATTACCATTATCAGGGTGAACAAAAACTCCTGCAAAGTTTAAAAAAAAGCAATGCTAAGTACCTATTTACCCTTCAGCCATAAAGTCAGTGCTGGGTATCTCATTACTCTTCAGTTATGAAGTTATGCACTGGCTTCCTGAAGTCTTGAGTTGCAAACCTGAGTCTCTGGTGAAAGTTTTTTATTTCTACTCCCAAGTTTTAGCAAACCTACATAATGTTGCAAGTTCCTATAGTTTTGGTTTTTTTTTTGTCTGGGAATGCCCATTACTTAAGCCAAGAAACAACAGCAGCAATCTGAACCCAAAGAATGATCAAGGGCATTTGGGAGATTCGCAAAAAGTGGTTTATGACTGTGCCACTCTCATTTGCTGATCACTCTTCCCAATCAAAACAAAACCTGTAAAGCACTGAAAACTTTTTGCATCTTATTTTCACTCAGTTTAATGTCACAAATGCCTTGTAAGCTGACAAATGCAGTTTTCAGAAAGAGATGGAGGACAGCAAAGGGGGCTAGGTATGATACTTTTTATATTAGTTGCATTCCTCTGTCTTGCTTTATTTTTGTTATTTACCTTGCCACTGAGTTTTTCAATTTTTCTTATGTTGATACACACTACAAACTGCACTGTCAGTCAGGTACTCACATCAGAGTTAGAAACAAAACTCCTACTATACACTTCAGGGAGGAAAGAGGGAAGGAGACACACCACTCAAACTACTTTGAAGATCCAGATGAGTACCAAAATAACTTCAGTTTATAGGATACTATTTTAACCTATCTGAAATCACCATTTGTAAACCAGTATATTTTACACTGCATAAAACACACAAAAAATTTCTGTAACATATTCAGAGAACTTCAGGACTTATTATAACTTTTATTATGTAAGTAAGACAAATTTGAAGTGGGACTCTGGATCAGAGATGCATAATATTTTGGTTTATAATATTTCTCACTGATTTAATAAATTTTGTTTCTGAACACTGAGTGCCACAGAATCCAAAAACCAGTGTTTGTAATTCTGCTGTCATTCATTCTTGGGAAACATAAGCCTGATTGACCTGGGCTGCTGGTAACTCAATTTAGTATTTTTCCAGCAGACCATTGTTGGTTCATCTGTACATAAGAGCAGAAAGTATGAGATCACTAAGTCTTCAAAAATGTACAGAGTGTACCAAGAGAGGGAACCACAGAGGAAATATAAATATTCAAAGGTTGCTTTTAAAAAAATCACTGAAATTCAGAAGCCAACCATATTTAAAAGAATTCTAAAAAATTATACTACATCCCCAATATATATAAAGCAGCAGCTAATTTTCAACTGAAAGGAAAAGCAAATCCTCAGGGAAACTGCACAAATACTTCAAAGGGTCAAAACACTTATCAAAATTCTTGTCATCAGCGAGCAGAACTGTTTGTCTCTGCAGACA